ACTCTCCAGCCACATCCTCTCCATTTTTTTTTCTTTTGAGATAAGGTCTCAATATGTTCTCTATCTAAACTGGAACTAGCTGTGTAGATGAGACTGGCCTCAAAATCAAAGAGACCTGTTTGTTTCTGCTTCTGCCTCACAAGTGCTGTTATTAAAGGTATGAACCATCGTGCCTGGCCAAGATTTAATTATTTATGTAAAATAAAGAAGCATTTTTATCTCAGTAGTATCAAATTATCTTTCCTTTTTAATGAGTGATTAAAATTTTGTATATACACCCCAAGAACTGTTTTAGTATAGATTTATTATTTATCAGTAAATGTCTTATTTGTGTGCCATACACACATACACATACACACATACACAGAGTGTTGTATAATATTATCTTTGGTCAGAAGGTTGGCAAATTTTTTGTTATTGTTTTGTCTATTCAAAACAGAGTTTCTCTGAGCAATCCTGGCCATCCTGGAACTCACTCTGTAGACTAGGCTGACCTTGAACTCAGAGACCTGGCTGCCTCCTGAGTTCTGCTATGAATAGAAAGGTTTAAGAAGACTTGGTCTAAGGTGTTTGACACCTTTAAGCTAGCACTCCTAATTGAACAATGCTATTTCTGAAGCAGATGCAGGTGCTACTTGCAGCCGCCAACAATATCATCACTGGACCCATATCCTGAAAGATAGAGAAAGATGAACTAAGGCATTGAATCTGGGACTTTTGCTGGCATTTCCAGAGGGTTCTTCACATGTGGGTTTGGTTACAACTCACCAGCAACCTCCCAGCCAGGACAGAACATTCAATCTAGGCACCCAAGTCCTAAAGCATCTCAGAGATCACAGCAATGATCACATGCCAGCCCAATAAGCTCTGGTGATCAGGTCTTGGGGCACTAACCAGGTGCCTTTGGGCACACTGGCCTCACAGACAATTTAGCAGGGATAATGTGTCTTTTCTCTTCTATTCTCTCCTTTAATTTGTTCACTTATCCATTTGTTTTGTACACGATAGGCCTGCATTGTAGTCTACCAGTGAATAAGAAATGCTTAAAAAGTATATAAGTATACAGAAACAAGACCGCTGGGATCTAGAATTAGAGAGATATTGAAGTAAATTAGAAGGCAATATGAGCTTTCTTCAAAAATCTTTTATAGCTCATGAGTTGAAATACATCTCTCTAATCCTTAGCACTTAGAAAAATAAAGCAGAAGGACTGTGAATCTGTTTTTGTTGTTTTGTTTTGGACACAGGGTTTCTCTGTGTGGCCCTGGCTGTCCTGTAACTTGCTCTATAGACAGGCTGGCCTTGAATTTACAGAGATCTGCCTGCGTCTGCCTCCCATATGCTACAATTAAAGGTGTGTGCCACCACTGCCAGGCAAGAACATGCTACACAGTGAGACCTTGTAACAAACAAAATTCCCATTACAGAGCTGGTGAGATTGCCAATCCAACAACCTGGGTTTGCTCCCTAGGACCCATATGATCACATAGCAGGAGAGAATTGACTCCCCTAAGTTGTCCTCTGACCTCCATGCATGACATGACAAACATAAAAAATGTATAATTTTAAAGAAAGTCTCCATGATAGGTAAAAGATGATGAAATGAAAAAAAAAAAAAAAAGAGGAATCCAACGACACTTAAGTGTTCAATACCTTTAGCCATCAGGGAAATGAAAATCAAAACAACTTTGAGATATCCCACCATCTTACTCCTGCCAGAATGGCTAAAATTACAAACACCAATGACAACTTATGCTGGAGAGGATGTGGAGAAAGGGGCACACTCCTCCACTGCTGGTGGGAGTGCAAAGTCATACAGCCATTTTGGAGATCAGTATGGCAGTTCCTCAGGAAAATGGGAATTAGTTTACCACAGGACCCGGCAGTCCCCCTCGTAGGCATATACCCAAATGATCCACATCCATGCAAAAAAGACATCTGTTCACCTATGTTCATAGCAGCACTATTTGTAATAGCAAGAACCTGAAAGCAACCTAAATGTCCCTCAATTGAAGAATAATAAAGAAGATGTGGCACATCTACACAATGGAATACTACTCAGCGGGAAAAAACAATGAAATCTTGAAATTCACAGGCAAATGGATGGAACTTGAAGAAACCATCCTGAATGAGGTAACATAGTCACAAAAAGAGGAACATGGTATGTACTCACTCATATATGGATTTTAGTCCTAGATCAAAGGATCACCAGCCTATAACTCACACCACCAGAGGAACTAGGATACAAGGAGGATTCTAAGAGATTCATACAAGGTCCCTCACAGAAGGGGAAAGGAACAAGATCTCCTGAGCACATGGGAAGAGGGGGTTGTGTGCCGTGAGTGGAGAGGGAGCTAGGAGAAGGTGAGGAGAGGAGAGGAAAACTCGTGGGATCAGGAAGATTGAGTCAAGGGAGGAATAGATGAGGGGGGGGGGAATAGATACCACAATATAGGGAGCCATTATAGGTATGCAGAGAAAACTGACGCTAGAGAAATTTCCAGAGACCTACAAGACTGACCCCAACTAACAATCTGAGCAACAGTGGAAAGGCTACCTTAAATGCCCTTCCCTGATGATGAGATTGATGACTAACTTATCCACCATCATAGAGCCCTCATCTAGTAGCTGATGGAAACAGAAACAGACACCCACAGCTAAACACTGAGCCAAACTCCTGGAATCCAGTTACAGAGAGGGAGGAGTAATAAGCAAGGGGGTGAAGACCAGGCTACAGAAACCCACAGAGACAGCTGACCACAGATGAGCTAACGGGCCCCCAGACTGATAGCTCGGAATCCAGCATGGGCCTGACTCAGACCCCCTGAACATGGGTCTCAGTTAGAAGGCCTGGGCAGTCTAAGGGACCTCTGACAGTGGAACCAGGATGTATCCCTGGTGCACAAAAGGACCTTGCGGACACACACCCCCATGGAGGGACACTCCCTTAACCTAGAGAGAGGAGAGAAGGCCTAGTCTCTACTCCAAATGACTTGACAGATTTTGATGATCCCTCCTGGAAGGCATCACCCTCCCTGTGGAGTGTGGGGGGGATGGAATGGGAGGGGGTTTGGGGAGCATGGGAGGGAGGGATAGGGAACTGGAATCTATATGTAAAATAAGAAAAATTTTAAAAATTGAGTAATCATCTATGTGATTGGTTATGCATAGTTTGTAACAACAAAGAAAGTCACAACTGATGACCACGAGAAGAACTGGAACAAGAGGAATCAAACTCTCATCGATCTGGAATATTCTCTATGAATTCATGAATAAAAAAAAACTTAGAAACAAACAATAGCAGCAAGAAAAATCCTGACACTTGCTTCCTCTAGGTCTCTCCAGTGGTGACAGGCTCATGACCGTTAGATGACTTAACCCTCTAAGGACATTAAACCATACCTGAGGGTAGACCCACATGCAACTTTCTGTTATGAATATAACTTTTGATCCCAGCAGTGGAGGCACACACCTTTAATCCCAGCACTCAGGAAGCAGAGGCAGGTAAATCTCTGAGTTTGAAGGCAGCCTGGTCTACAGAGCAAGTTCCAGGACAGCCAGGGCTGATACACCCTGTCTCCAAAAAAAAAAAAAAAAAAAAAAAAAAAAAAAGAATATAACTTTTGCCTGGAGAGAGATGGCTCAGTGGGTAAAAGTATTTGCTGTGCAAGGTTATGTCCTAAGGTACTCCTACAGCAGAAATAAGAGAGATTGTAATTCAACAAGGTGGAAGGTGATAACTGATTCTGGACAATTGCTCACATACCTCCACATGGGCCACAATATGTACAGTATATGTGAGTATGTATGCACACACACAGAGAGAGAGAGAGAGAGAGAGAGAGCAACATTGTAGACAGATTTTTATTTGGGCCACCAGCTCACAAATAATGATATGGAGACTTATTATTAATTATGAAAGCTCTGCCTTAGCTTAGGCTTGTCCCATTAGCTCTTATAACTTAAATTAACCCATTTATACTAATCTACATTCTGCTTTCCGTTGTTACCTCATCTGCATACTGCCCATTCTGCTTCCTCCGAGTCCAGCTGGCAAATTCACCATCTTCCCAGAGTTCTCTCTCTGCAAGAAGTACCACCTATACTTCCTGCCTAACTACTGGCCATTCAACTTTTATTATACCAAGCACAGCAATACATCTTCACATAGTGTACAACACAACATTTTGTAGGGTGTGGTGACACATACCTTTAATCCCAGCATTCAGCATGTAGAAAGACCCTGTCTCAAAAAAATATATTTAACCAATTTTATGTACACCTGTGCTGTCTCAGAAAAAGTATTAAGTCAGAGTAGACAGCCACCAATATTTCCAACAGATAAGTGACTTCCCTGAAATCTTGATATGTTGGCTTGGAACTCACTATGTAGACCAGTCTGGCCTGAAACTTGTGCATATCCTCTTGTTTCTACTCTTCCTGAGATAGCAGGCATGGATTACCAAGCCTGATTTACTTATTTACTTATTTATTTATTTATTTTGAGATTGAACCCCATGGACGTCGGGCTGACCCTGAATTCGTAATCTTCTTACATCCACCCACAAAATGGTAGGATTACAGGTGTGTGCTACTATACCATGCTTTACTTCTGGACACACTGGATGGCTGTCAGCAGCCTATACCTTTACCTGACAAATATCCTCTCTACCCTAGAATACAGTGAAATTATGGGGGTCATTTCTCCTGATGCTTTATTTCTAAAATATTTCAAACTACAGAAGAGTTTCTAGACCAGTCTGATGAACCCACTTCCCTTATATTAGGATCTTTGCATCATGTCTTCAAGTAAATTGAAGAGAGGACAGTGATTAATTAGCCTTTAAGTATTGACACCTGGAATGAATCTGAGGCCAAAACACCTCTTATGGAGTCCTTATATAAGGCACAACCAGAGTAACCAACCCTTGATAGAGAATGTCATCTCAGAGTCCATTTGAATGGCAAGGCTCATCAAGTAGGCAGGGTTGACTTACACTTTAGCACATTTTCTCCTTTGTATGTGGTCTTGGGCAGGTGTTTAAATTTGTCAGAAACAAAAATGCAAAGTGGAACTAGAGATCATCATAGACCTTAGACCAGAGGTGGCCTATGAGGTGCAGGGATAGATGCCATTGTGAAAGCTGATGTTCACACATCTTGAGTACCACAAAGCCCAGGCATGACAGCAGGCCAAAAGCTAGGTAGGTAACTATGGAGATACTACTGAACTATCTATGGGTGCACAGGACCTCTCCAACAGCTGCTACCACATGAGCTCAGTGCTGCCTCAAACTCCTGTGGACAAAGGGCAAGGTTGTAACTTGATGGGGACAGACAGTCAAAACAGAACAATAATCAGGGCTCCCAACTTCTACATAGGGAGAAGCACTAGGCCACTGGCCATGCAAAAAAATGGGCAAAGTGAGAATCAAGCATGCTAACAAAGACATCTTTAAGGTAATGAGCTCTCTGTAGCTTCATGGGGCATCTAAAGGTGCTGGCATTTCTTTGTAACAAGTACCCTCCCAGGAGCATGTAGGCTATGTTAATGATTGATTTGAAGGGCATGGGCTAGGAAGGTGGACAGGCTGGCCACTGGTGCTTCAGGATAGTGTTCATTGCCCATTTCTACAAAAACACTGTTGAAAATACTGGTGTGGATATTAGCCACACAGAGACAGCTGGCCACAACCACGTATAAGAGGGCTTCCTCCCACTTTGTCTTTATTTTTGACAGAAACAGAAAGAATCTAAGAATGGCAGTGTTCTTTTTATTCACAATTCAGAAAAAGGCCCTTGAAAAGCACACGTCAGCCTTCCTGGCTGAGCATTTAAGAAGTCTCTATGATTTCCGTAGATGCTGTGACCTTGCCCCACAATGGCAGCAACAGGCTGGATGAAGGCAAGAGTTCTCCTGATTGGCTGGCACGAGAAGGTCGGTGTGTGCCTTTTTCCTCTGTGGTTACAAAAAGAATGCGGTTAGAAAAAAAACATCCAAAAAAGAACCTCCATATTCCCAATTCTCAGCCTCAAGTTCCACCAACAGTTTTCACCAGAAAAAGTAAATAAAAACAAAAGAATATCCTCAATGTGTTCACCTACTATTTCTATAAGGCTCTGCAATTTCTATTTCCTGAAGACTTTGGATCTGTCTCTCCTGGTGCCTAAGCTGTTATTTTTCATCTATATAATAAAATTCTGTTCACTATACTAGTTGCTTTAAATGTATAGAGTGACAATTCCCAGATCTTCATTACAAATTGGAATAGCCTTCCCCTTTGGTGGGATTTCACATGTAGGATTTTCCAGGCTCTCTGATCCCAAGGCATTTTGAAACCAAATATGATTGGGTGAAGTGTGAGTTTGGGAATCTAGGTCAAATTAAGGGAGTACAATGAGGATTTCCCTTCTACCCTACCCAAAAGGCTGAGCCCCAAACGACATTTTACTTCCTGTAGTTATGCACTCACAGAACCAGAGGCAGTGTGTGTGTGTCTGTCTGTCTGTCTGTCTGTCTGTGTCTGTGTGTGTATGTGTGAATATATACATTGGATTTTGCTCTTTGACAGTGTCTCACTATGTAACTCTGGCTGTCCTGGAACTCATTATGTAGACTAGACTGGCCTTGAAGTCATAGAGATCCACCTGCCTCTACCTCCTTAGTGCTGAGATTAAAGGCATAATTTTTTTAGAGGGGGGAGAGACTTTCAAGAGACAGGGTTTCTCTGTGTAACAACAGCTCTGGCTGTCCTGGAACTCGCTCTGTAGACCAGGTGAGGCCAGCCTGAAACTCACAGAGATCTGCCTGCCTATGCCTCCCGAGTGCTGGGATTAAAGGTGTGTGCCACCAGAACCTGGTGACAATGGAGCCTTTTAATAGACCTGAGAACAGAGAACACTCAGACTGTCAATGTATCTCCCCTGAGAAAGTACAGCAGGTGAACTGGAGCAGAGCAGGGGGACTGGGTGGTATTTGGAACCTCTAGTTTAAAGAGAAGCAAATTAAATGCTTGCCAGAGCCCTTTCCAGATGATAGACTCCAAACCAGGCAGAGCACGGCAAAGTCAGGTAAAGAACTAGCCAGTCCCAGGCAGCAGTAAAAGGGGAACCAGAGCCTCTAGTAATGACACCAGAGCAGCCTGTCTCTCCTGCCTGAACATAGTAGAACAAGATTCATAATGAAATGGACAAGAGAAAGGTAGCAAAAGTCAACTCCCAACAATGCTCCTTTGGAGCATTATTATTGTTGTTGTTGTTATTATTAATACTAATACTATTTTGGTTTTTTGGTTTTTTTGAGACAGAGTCTACATAGCCCTGGATGGTGCTGGAACTTGCTACATAGACCAGGGTGGTGTCCAACTCATACAGATTCATCTGCCTCTGACTCTGATGGTGCTGGAATCAAAGGTGAGTGCCACCATGCCTGGCAAAGGCATGTTTTTTTCAATTTGAAAAAGCATAAATTTACATGTGTGTGTGTGTGTGTGTATTTCCATGTATACAAATACATGTAAAGGCCAGAGACGCAACAGGCAGAAGTCAGTTTTCTCCTTCCATTGAATTGGTCACAAGGATGTATTTAATTCAGGTCCTCTCTCTTGGTGGCAAATGCTTGTTGTTGGTGCTTTGTTTTGTTTACGTTTTACTGTTACTCTTTTGGCTCTCTGCTCTTTGGGTGGCCTGCCAGGTAGCTCCCAAATAAATATAAGGAGGCTTATTCTTTCTTATGAATACCCAGCCTTAGCTTGGCTTATTTCTAGACAGTTTTTCTTGACTTAAATTATCCCATCTACCTTTTGTCTCTAGGATTTTATCTTTATTATATATACCTTTTCTCTCTCTCTCTCTCTCTCTCTCTCTCTCTCTCTCTCTCTCTCTCTCTCTCTTTCTGTTATTGGCTGTGTGGCAGGGTGGCTGGTCCCTGATGTCCTCCTCTCCTTCTCCTTTTCTTGCTCCTCGATCTTCTCTTCCCAGATTTCTCCTCCTATTTATTGTCTCTGCCTGCCAGCACCCCCATCCTTTCTACTGCCTTGCCATTGGGCTCTTTATTAGCCCAATCAGGTATTTTAGACAGACAACTTAACACAGCTTCACGGAGTTAAACAAATGCAACATAAAAGAATGCAACACATCTTTGCATCATTAAACAAATGCTCCACAGCATAAACAAATGTAACACATCTTAAACTAATACTCCATAAATGCTTTCACTTCCTAATCATAAATCATCACACGAGTCATTATGTTTTTAGACAAGATCTCACTGTGTATCCATGATTGGCCTGAAACTAGTTATGTAGGCCAGACTGGCCTTAAAGTCACAGAAATCTACCTGCCTTTGCTTCAGAGAGCTGAGATTAAAGAGGTGCACCATCACACCCTGCTAGTTGTTTTTTGTTTTTAATATTTTATCATTGTTTGACACTTTCATACATGTATACAGTGTATCTCAATCAAATCCACAGGTCCTTGCTTTGTTTGTTTGACTGGGGTGGCAGCATTCTCACATTATAGCCCAAGCTGACTTAATAAAGTTACTCCCTCTAAGTGTCAAGTGTCACAATATAAGAGCTAAGTCCCACCACTGCCAGTGAGAAATGTATTAGTTAGCATTGAAGGGAGAATAGGCTCAGCTCTGTTAATGACACACAGCCAATCACAGCCAACACAGCCAAGAGGTGGTAGAGAGGAGGGTGAGGAGAACACAAGGAGAGGCCTCGAGCTCTCTGTAGTCTAATGCCAAGCTATGTGCCTTCCAACCCTGACTTCTCCTCACAAGTGTGACCTTGGACCAGAAGCAATTTGCTTACCCATAAAATGTGGAATTTGGCAGCTCTTCTTGAAGCCTGCACCCATGTCACCAATGCATAGTATTCTTTTTTCCCTTTGAAATAGGGCATCTCTCTGTAGTCCAGGCTGTTCTAGAACTCAATTTATAATTCAGGTTGGCCTCAAACAGGTAAACTGCCTGTCATCTTCTGGGCTCCTGAAATTACAGGCAGGAGCCACCACACCCAGGTTTTTGAATTTTTAAAATATATATATATGTAAGGAGTAAGATTTTTTTCCTCCCGCTGCCGGTCTTGTCCAGCCACCGCGCCAGCCCCAATACACAGAGACTCTGTATTTGATATAATGATGTTGGCCAGACTCCATCTTCCTACTTCCTCTCTCCTCCTTGTCTCCTAGTCCCTCCTGTCTTCCTTTCCTATTGGCCAACAGTGCTTTATTCATTAACCAGTATGAGAAACATATTTACAGAATGGCATCTCCCATCATATATATTTATTTTCTTTGAGACAGAATCTCACTACATAGCCAAGGCTGCTGACTTTAAACTTGCAGCAGTCCTCCTCTCTCAGCTTCCTGAATTCAAATATACTATACTTAGTTCTACTCTCCTCTTCCTAACAGTCAGAAGTGTCACCACCTCTATCCTGGCTCTCAACTCTGTACTTTGAGACTACCCTTCATCTATTTAACAAACTCTCAACCTGAGCTAGAGAGATGGTTCAGCAATTAAGAGCACTGACAGCTCTTCCAGTGGATCAGAGTTTGAATCTCAGCACCCACAAGGCAACTCCTAACCAGCTATTACCCCAGTTCCAGGGGATCTGATACTCCCTTGTAGTCTGACACTCCATGTGTGCCATGTACAGGCATACATGCAGATTAAACAGCCATGCACATGAATTAAAAATAAATAAAATTTAAAAACAAACAAAACCTCAACTTAAAAATGTGGTATATTACTTTAACTATGTAAGCATGTTGCATTTGTTTAAGTAGAAATAATGTCACATTTGTTTATTTAACTATGTAAAGAAATGTTGCATTTGTTTAATTATGTAAAGATGTGTTGCTGTTTTATTTTGCCTGCCTAAGACACTGATTGTCCTAATTAAAAAAAAACTGAATGGCTGGGACCTGGAGAGATGGCTCAGTGGTTAAAAGCACTGACTGTCTTCCAGATGGACCTGGGTTCAATTCCAAGCAACCACAAGGCAGCTCACAACTCTAGTTCCAGGGGATCAGATACCTTCACACAAAACCACATAAAATAAAAGGCTGAATAAATTATTTTTAAAAACGGAATGGCCAATAGCTAAGCAAAAAAAGGATAAGCAGGCTGACGGGCAGAGAAAATAAGTAAGAGGAGGAATATGGGGTCAGGGAAAGATGTCAGAGGCCAGCTACCCAAGCAGCCACCAGATAGACAGACACAGAGGAAACATGAAAGTAGAACATACAGAATGAAAGACAGGTAAAAGGCACCAAGGCAAAATGTAGAAGACCAACAGAGTAATTTAAAAAGCTATATAGAAGCAAGCTAAGGCCAAGCAGTCATGACCTAATGGGTCATATCTGGAATCCCAGCTGATAGGGAGGCTGAGGCAGTAGGATTTAAAGTTTAAGGAAAGCCTGGAATAAAACCCTGACTCAAAAATTTAAAAAATGCTGAGGATATAGCTCAGTAGTAGGATGCTTGCCTAAAATATATGAGTCTCTGGATAATATCCCCCATGCTATAAAAATAAACAAACAATAAATCATGGAAGCTACAGAGCTACAGAATTATTTATATAGAACTGGTTTCTCCCCCATCCCCCCCCCCTTTTTTTTTTTTTTTTTTTTTTTTTTTTTTTTTGTACTACTGTGGATGGATGGAACCCAGGGCTTTATGCGTGCCTGCTAGGTAAGCAACACAGGCAAGCAAGAGCTCTGCAACTGAGGTTCACTTTCAGTCCAAGAATGAGCGATTGTACACTAGATTACTTAGTAATCTAATGCCCCAGTCAGTGTGGTCAGTCGACAGGTACCCTGAGGGTGGAAGTGAGAATGAAGAGACAAGAGACAACATTCTGATCAAGTCTTGTTTAATGAATATAATCACAGGGTTTAAGTAGTGGAGAAATGAGGGAATGGGCCAGAGGGAGGATGTGAGGGAGGCAGAATGTCCTTCCAAGCAGAATGCAGGTGTTCTGCTGTAAGATAAGTTGCTGTACCATATGACTGCAGCTGGGACTCTTTCAGGGTCAGGCTGCATTATATGTTTAACAAGAGAACAGTCATAGGAGAATGGAAAATTACCAGTATGCTAGTGTCTAAGAGAGTAGTAGGAAAGATGACTGTTAAGATGCCAACTTTGCTCTGGGATTCCCCACAATCTAAGACAGAATCTCTTACTGTAGTCCAGACTGCCTTGCTCACCATTCCCATCTCTTGCCTCAACCTCCCAAATCCTGGGATTACAGTATTGTTTAGTTTCAAAGTTAAATGTCTTAACCTCCTTAACGAAGTTTACTGTAGGGCACAGTTGGCTTCTACTCTCCCTCCTTTACCCTCTTACCAGACCCATTTCCTCTTTGTCTTCTCATATATGCCCTGGATTCCCCTGGATTCTGGGGACATGGCTGCTATGCTTAATATGAGGCTTGCTTGCCTTGAGTATCTGTTGCTAAGAAGGACTACCAGGTCTAGTACATGTGGGTCACACTGTTCTCTCAAACCCATTATCACTACCAGAGAACTGAAGCTTTCGTCTTGAATTTGTCTCCATGTTTGGGGGCCATCTCTGCTCTAGGATTCTCACCTCTAAGCTAGGGTTAATATTGTCTGTATTCTGAGATCCTGAATCTTCTTTAAGAATATTTCCTTCTAGCCAACCTGTTGGCTAGATTCAAAATGCCATCCACATGTATACCTGAAGAGGCTTCAGCTGAAGCCCTTTGTAGTATGTCTGCATCCTTTGTACCCATATGGAGCTCTATGACACCCATATTACCCTGACTCTTCTATCTTCCAGCAAATATAATGGTGAACTGGAGACAGGAGTCAGATCCTGTCAACTGAATAAAAGAGAACATCCAGAATGCAACTCTTTCTGCAATGGGATCAAAGTCTACTTGAGTCCAGTATGGAAGTCACATACAATGAAACTATTTGCCCACATTTCCCAGACAAACCAGGCTGGTTACATTATAGTTTAACTCCCTATACTCATGAACTACTATGACCCTTGCCTAGTCAAACAGCTCTTCAGAGCTTCCCCCTCGTAACTGACAGGGAAGACTCACAGCATTGGTTCTTAGATTTTGGAAGCATCCTGCAAAATAAGATAAGGTGTCTTGCCTCTCCCTCCCTCTCCTTCTCTACAGAACTAACTATGTAGCAGACATTGGCTTCAAATTTCCACCACTATGTCCAGCTAAGTATAACAACTTCCCATTTAAGGAGTTTTCTTCATAAAATGTGTGTTCCTTACACTTGTTTTTTTCCCCCTGTGGGTGTATGGATTTAAGCAGCAGCCACTGTTTCCTCCGAGCAGTGGAACAGAGGTGGTATTTTGGCCTGCAGCATTAATGAGAACATTTTGTTGTGCCCCAGGGCTGCATGCATGCTGCAATCTTTCTACAGACATGAAGGCATAGCATGAGACACTTACAGAGGATTTGAATAGCCTTAGCCACCCATAAGCCACAGACCCCAGAGGAACCAGTAGTTTCTGAATTTGAGAGCAAAACATGCTAAATTCAGCCAAGACCCTGGGAGACCAGCAGGTCAACTCCCTTTATTTTACAGGGAGGAATTGGGGCTATAAGAGACTGGCCAATGTCACAGAGCTATTGGTGTTACATCCATATAAGCAGGGGCTCCTCTCTGGTCTTTACCAAATGAGTACTTGCAACTGGATAAACTAAAACAGAGAATTAGTAAATAAATTTAATACATGAAAACAGGATTATTACACACATTGAAAGTGTAATATGGCAATATGTATGCCTTATTGCTAACAAATTACAAGATCTGCTGGCACGCTCAATACAGTAACATCAAAGTAAAAATTATTCAGACTGCCGATAGCGCTTGTAATTTAATTTTTAGATCTGTGCAAAGCGCAGTTACAGACCTGTAATGAATGATCTATACACGTCCTTTGACGACGATGTCACAGGTGTATATGCTACTCCATGTTCGGTTTCCTATATTTGTAATTACAGGAAATAAAGAATTTTCACCAGAAGTTAGTTAAAATAATGAGGAAATAGAGGGGAACAGGGAGAAATAATCTGCTCTTGCTGTGGGACATTAGCTTAGGACCCCTGTGCTACCACCTGCCTATGATAATGATGACATCGCAATACCTAATCGGCCTCCTGGGAGACTTGGAAATTAGACATGAAGACGGTGACGCTCCTTTTATACGTTGTTGTTGAATTTACAATATTGGCGCGAAAAGGCTAGCGCTCACCATCCGGGTATTTTGCTTCTTTTGCTACGCTAGGGAAAATTCAAATCTCAAAAAAGGGCGGACCCGTAAAGCCTCTATACGCCTGCGCAAGGGCGGGGCGAGGAGCCCTGGGAAGCAGGCGGGTCGGATGACGCGAGGTGACGCGAGTGCACGAGCTGCTCTCGCGCTGACTCGACTCCGGTGCTATTAGCCTCGGCAGGCCGCAGCGAGACAGTGGCCCGGCGCGCTACGAATCTGAGCGCTCACCCGGGCTCGTTTGGGAGGCGCGGGCGAAGGCGGCAACGTCGCGGGGTGGTGTGACTGGCCTGGGAGCGGGCGGTAGCTCCGCCCCTGTGTGCTCATGGCGTCACCTTCGGCTGTGGCCCCGCCTCCAACTTCCCTCTGTGACCGGGCTCTGGCTGTAATGCTGAGTGTTCGGGCAGCAAAACAGTTGCTTTCCAGTCAGGCGTGCTATCACAGTGTCTCCTCTCTGCCATCCTTAACTAACGTTTGCCCTATCTCCACGGCTAGTTTAAGGCTATTTCTCGGGTTTGTGTCACTTCAGCGACCCGGGAGACAGTTCCCAGGGGGCGGGGCCGAGCGAGTCTAGGGGGAGTTACATTTTCATCCGGGTATTCTCGTATGCCGCGGCCATCTTTGTTTTGTGCTGAAAGTCGCTATTGACGCCTGCAGACGGCCGGGCGTGGGGAAGTGGCAAGATGGCGGCTCCCACGGAGGAGGCGTGGAGGAGTGTTGAGGGGGCGCAGGGCGGGGCGTTACTGCACCTGACCCGAGCTCAGCTCTGTCTCTAGCCTACTACGCAGCAGCGCCAACTCGCCTGCAATCAGACAGCACATTGCACTTTTAAGAAGCTTTGATTCTTAATGAGCCTTGGGTCCTTTAAGAGGCTTGCGTCCAGAGGCGGAGACGTGCGAGAGCGGGGGAGCGATGACGTGTACTGACTCCGCCCCCTCGCCCGACCGCCGCCATGTTTAGTTGTTGCTTCTTCACACAAGATGGCGGCTCCCAGGGAGGAGGCATGACCGTCCTGCCGTTACCGCTCCTGCCGTACAGTTGTCACTTCGGGGCCTAACTCCTGCTCTTTCGAGTGGCTCCTGTGAGAAGGAGTCATAAGAAGGGAAGAGAGGATTGGACGTTGCCTTGCGTTTGGTTTGCTGTGGAAAAACTGTTCAGGAAGAACAGAATAGGGGGGAAGGGGAAGCTAGTCTCAAGATGGCGGCTCCCAGGGCGTCAGGCGCAGCCTGAACAGCAGAGGCGGACTCAAGGGAGAGGTGCGAAACCTCACGAGCCATACGACTCGGAGCACCCAAGAGTTCGAGCCGGTTCCGCCAGCCTGTGACGCTACTTTATTATTTAGGAGCGTCGGGGTTGTTTCGCGCTCGGCGGTTGTACTAAGTGCTGGGTGGGGAAGCAGAACGGTCTCAAGATGGCGGCTTCCACAATTGTGGTGTGACTGCCGGCGGGGTTGAGACAACCGCGGCATTTGTGGCTCTTTTCCACCCGCCCCGGAAGCCAGCCAGTGCTGGGGACTGGGGGGTGTGGGAACCGGGCCGGGGCTCCGCCATTTCCGGCGGGGGAGGGCTACGACTGAGGAAGGGAGGAGAGAGAGGCGTCTCAAGATGGCGGCTCCCAGAGCCTCTTGCCTCAGCTTCTAAGCGGGAGCGCCCGGGCAAATAGTTAGAGCGGCGGCGCTCAGTGACCTCCAGCTTCTCGGGAGTAGGTGCTCCACAGTTTTGAGAAGCTTTAAAGGAGACGAGCCGAGTGAGAAGGGGGGGAAGAGCCAAAGGGAAGGAGGATAGTTAAGATGGCGGCCTCCATGGAGTCGTCCACCGCTGTGTAGAGAGCCGCTTCTCCGTGAGAGCTGCCTTAGACGAAAGGGGGTGTGTGAAGAATTAAGGGTCTCCCTCCCGCTCAGTGAATTATTCTCACTGCATCCTTAACCGGAACTATGGCTTCTGCTGTGTCGCCCGCCAGCTTGCCAGCGGTGCTTCTTCAGCCCCGTTGGAAGCGAGTGGTGGGTTGGTCGGGTCCCGTGCCCCGACCGCGCCACGGCCACCGTGCCGTGGCTATCAAGGAACTCATAGTGGTGTTTGGCGGCGGTAACGAAGGAATAGTGGACGAACTACACGTGTACAACACTGGTGAGTGTAAGCCCGCTGGGTTCTCAAAGCCTTCCCTTCCTTCATCTCCTCTCAACTCTCCTTCACTCTTCACAATCTTCTCCCCTCCTTTCATCTCTCTCTCACGCTCCCCTGATGTGTCCCCCCCCCCTTTGCTCTGCTTGCCATATCTGCTTTTCCCCGGTTTTTCAACCCCCGTCCTACACCCCCGGACTCTCCTGTGTTTAAAGGTTGCATTTGGTACTTAGAGAAGCCCTCTAGTCTGACTGGTGAGGGGGAGGGGATGTCGCCAGCGATGGTGACTTCAGACGTACACCGTTACCCAGCGGGCTGGGGCTGGCGCGGCAGCGGATGTGTTCTCTTGGCGCGGGCGGAATCCTCCCCCTTCTTGCGCTCGTCCTCATCTCCAGCGCCCATGCTCCTTCAGGAGAAAAGACCATTTCTACATCACAGATCAGTTCTATGCACCCAGAAAGAGGGAAGCACTCTTTTAAGAGGCAGACTTGTAACAGGCTAATACGTCTCTGGTGGCAAATGCTGATGGCTTTGCTGCACCACCACCCCACCCCACCCCACCCCACCCCCGTGTACACACACACAGTTGGGGGTAATTACTTGTATGAGTTGTATTTTTTTTCTTCGAATTGTTTCTTTTTCTAATGTGATTCCTAAATAGCTGAGTTTCTTTCCCCGCCTCCCCCAAGCAGGCCGGAGAGCTCAATGCCTCCTTTCCTGTGAGTTCCCAGTGAGATTGAAAGGGTTAACAGTCCCTTCTATTGCCTCCTTCCCCAAACCCTTGCAAATTGGGAGGAGCCTCTGTTTGCAGGTATGGCTGATCTGCGGATTGGCCCCTGCCCCCTCCATTATGGAAGCACATGTTGTTCCTTGCTTGGTTCCTTTGCTCTGCCTTTAGGGCAGAAAGCTTTGTCGCATCCTTCCCCTGTGGTAGCGCTTTCTTCACATCTAGTACAGGAGATTGTCCTGAGTTGCCGGTTGACTGCCCAGAGGTCTTCAGGACCTTTGCCTTGCCCTAAGGAAAAGTGCTGGGATTAGCTAAGGCTGGAAATATGTGCCAGTTGTGTCCAGGTGAGAGCCTGGAATACTGGGGTGGCCAGATAGAGCCAGCCCCCTTGCCTGTGGTAGACTAGAAGCTTCCCTCTATTGCAAGAGGTGCAATCTACAGGGCTTCCTTGTCAGCTCCTTAGCTTCTTACATATACCTTCATCATCCTTCTGGGCCCTTGCTGTCCTGGACACCTTCTCTTCGTGTGAGGTTGGGACCAAGTGTGCAGCAAGGCCATTCATTCTATTGGCCTCATCACTTGCCTCCTTGGTCTGATGAGGTAAGAAGCAGGCAGATCATGGTCTGGGGTAGTACATGGATTGAGGGTTGGAGCCAGATTCTTCTGGCAGCTCCCCAGCACCTCATCAACCAGGCTGAGTGTGAAGGCCTGCCTCTGTACCTCTAATTCTTCCCCCTTCCAAGATGATGAGTGGGTTGTTCATGACCCTCTGAGTTCCTTGTCTCTGCACCTGTTGCCTCCAAGGAGTAGGGTTTTTCTCGGTGCCCCTGTAGAAAGATAGGGGGTGCTGGTGATGCTTGTGCCAGCCAGACAGCTGTAGTGACAAGAATTATCCAGTAAGGTAAGGCCAAGGGCAGGGGTGCAACTTGTAGAATGGTAGAGCTGTTTTTAGAGATGTGGTCCACAGGAGCAACAGCACCTTCTTCTCTGGAACAACTATCTTCTACTAAAGCCTGAAACTGAATTTTGGTAGGTAAATACAATTTTAGAAAGTAGGGCAGGAGCCTAATTACAGTCAGCTCCAAGGTCCATTGGAGGCCTCTGTCTTGGCTTCCCAGGATCTCTACATATTCATTCGTTTTTTAAACCAATGGACTACTTTGGTGTTAATTTATTACCATTTTGTAAAGACGTAAATCAGCTTACAGCAAAGAATCCTCCAAGAATAACAAATTTTCAAAACATTTTTAGGTGACTTGAGAGAGCAACTAGCTGACCCTGCTACCCTGTTCTTCACCTTAAAAGGCGTATCCCTTGTTTTGATGGGCTCAGGATGTGTCATGTATTTGGCAGGCTCCAAGTTCTAACAGTCCTGGTGCTTCCCTGACTGCCCATCCTTCCCAACAGCTGCCTCTTCTGCTTATCTTGGTTTTGTTTCCAAAGAGGCCTGAGTCCATTATCTGTTCATGCCTCTGCCTGTATTACTTTGCTATTGTGGGGTTGGTCCTTACCCCTTTATACAGTGGGCTAGTCTGATAACGTTTCTCTTTGAAAAGAGGAAAAAGATCTATGGTGTATGTGTACTTGGTCAACTCTTCAGTTTGCAGAGGTGGAATATAATTCACCCAGGGGTTACCCAGTGGAATAACCGGGTTTGTGTATACTAGAGAGAGCATGTGTACATGGCTTTGCCCCTTCAGTGGCAGTCACCACAGGCTGAGAGACTCTTTATTGTCTTTTGGTAGGTTTGTAGTTTGTCCATGGAAGAATTTTATTTTCATGAGGCAATTTATATTAGTCAAGAAGCCTCAAGCCCAAGGATCCAGAGTCTGGGTTGGAGTATGTTGTGCTGAAGCTGGGTGTATTTGATTGTTCCCTCTCCCAGGCTGTTTTGCCTCTGTAGATACTGGTTGACACCAACTCCCCTTTGTATGTAGAACAGAACCTTGAGCAGGTACTATACCACTGAGCCAGTTGTACCATAGATTCTTCTTAAGGGTTGGTGGTGAAAATATCTAAAGGTACTTCTTATACATGAAGAAATTGTAGTCCAAGAAGGGAAGTGACAAGTTCAGGGGCACTGCTCTAACTAGTGGTTGAGGTGGGCCAGAGTGTGAGCCTTTATAGGGACTGCTGTACCGTGTGTGTGTGTGTGTGTGTGTGTGTGTGTGTGTGTGTGTGTGTGTGTGTGTGTGTGTGTTTTGTTTTTCAAGACAGGGTTTCTCTGTGTAACCACCCTGGCTGGCCTTGAACTCAGAGATCCAGCTATCTCTTGCAATGGCTATACCACTGATTTCTTAATTTGGATCATAGGAAAACACCACCCCAATCCTAAATTTCACTAAGATTGGTATCATTTCTGTTCCCCCATCTATTTTAGGCCCACTTCAGCAGGCTCACTTCCTGATTGGCCTGTTAGTTTTGCATTAGGAAATAGCCTGTTTACATTTTAAAGCTCTTGCTTAAATGTTTTTTACTCA